TAGTCCCAGCTACTCGGGAGGCTGAGGCAGGAGGATCGCTGGAGCCCAGGAGTTGGAGGTTGCTGTGAGCTAGGATGACGCCACGGCACTCTAGCCCGGGCAAGAGTTAGACTCTGTCTCAAAAAAAAAAAAAAAAACAACTGAATCGAGACCAATCCTGCATAAGTCATAATTATGGTGTAAAATACTTTGATTACTAAAACACGATATTTTTGCAACTCCGTTCCCCATCGATTAGAAAACTATAAAGAAAGCGCTTGATAAATTATTGAAATTAGTTTCTCACAAATGTTATTAAAATTCACAACTATAAAGCTTGGTAAAATAGAATTACACTTTAAATACCGTTCAAGAGAGCTTGGTTCTATCTTTGGGGCTTTGTGGTTGCTTTATGTTTTTTTTTTTTGGAAGCCATAACTTCTCACTGCTGAGCTCACACATTGTTTGCTATAAGCGAACATCTCGGCCCAATCATTTCCCAATCTAAATCCCTCTGATGATGACAGTGTCCTTACAACCCCAGCTCACGGGGTTCGCTGTGTCTGCGAGTGTGAGCCGCTAGTTAACCTCTGTGTCTCTCCTCGGCCGTCTGCTTTGATTAATTGCGTTCCCGCACTCACGAAGGTCTCTAAATGGTGCGTCACTGTATTGCTGTCATGTTTCATACAGATGGATTTTCCTTACGATGAACCTGATCGATTAAGCAACAAAATGTTCCAGTACGACCCCGGCCAAGATCAATGGCAAGAGCGAGCGCCCATGAAGTATTCCAAGTACCGGTTCAGCACGGCCGTCGTCAACAGCGAGATTTATGTCTTGGGTAAGCAGCAGCAGATTACTAACACGGTAACCACTTTTATCTTTCCCAGCAGTTTGCCTCGGAAAGAAATGAAATATCTTCCCTTCCTCTAGCGTCCCAGTTCAAGCGTACGCATGCGAGCGCAAAATTCTCTCGTATTTCTTGTTTTCTAGAGTACAAATGATTAAATGGAGGTCGCTTGACTTATTGAAAGCAAAATTATTTGTATGGCATCGTCTAGTGCCTTTGAGTGCAAAAACAGGAGTGATACATCCTCATTGATACGACCAAGTATTATTTTTTTTTCAGCATCCATACCTGAAGTTTTATTGGAAACCAGCCACACATTCATTTATATGTTGTCTTCATGCGGCAAAGGCAGAGTTGAATAGTGTGACAGAAAGCGTATCATGCACAAAACCTAAAGTATTTGCTGTTTTACCCTTTCCAGAGAAAGTCTGCTGACAGCTTGTATAGAATGTAGGAGGCAGTTTGCATCCCAATAATCAATAGCCAAGCCGTTAAGAATAGTATTCATATTTGATTAAAGTGAAATAGCAGAATATCATAAAGTTGGCTGAGATTAAAATACTGTATAAATTACGTGGACACATAAGGTCTAATATTCTGAATGGAAACTAGTCATGTTGAGATAGCGAATATACAGGTAATTTAACAATAAAGTTAGGCCGGGCGCAGTGGCTCTCACACCTGACATCCCGGCACTCTGGGAGGCCGAGGC